GCATTTTTATCTTCTTCTTTAGAATCTTCTAGGGCAGGAGTTTTGTTTGAAGCTGGTGTACTTTTAAGACCAAGGAAAAGATTAGAAAAGCCTTTATTCTTCTTTATGTAGCAGATAGCTATTATTGCTGCAGTTGTTGCTAGGCATACGGCTGTTATTATTACTATCTTTAGTTTCATGGTAAATAAAAAATAATTTTTATTTATACTTTTTTGTGATAAGCTCTGTCCAATTGTTTTGCTTATCATTTAATTAATTCATTTATTCCATGCATCCATACGCTTTTGATAGCATTGACTAATTACTTTATGATCTTTCTAAGTGACCAATCCCTTTGGTGCAGCATATTGATTGAGCTATTCTACTGCTGTACTTGCATTCTAAGAAGTTTTACAACTACCTCCTGTGGAACGGGCAAAGCACTTACTACTAATACACAAATAATTTAGATTAATTTTAGCCAATTTTCAATAGTCTAGTAAAGAAGTGAGTGTCTGCACTCTTGCTCTATAGATAGCATGTGCCATTGAGATTGCTTGAGCATTATTCTAATTGGGTACTTTTTTAAGTGACAATCCAAAATTTTCATAAAGACATGTTCTTCGCAATTTTATGAGAGCAGTGGTAGACAAAGTGTGTACTCCTAGATACACCTACTTCCTATACACCCATCTGTACTAGAGCATAGAAACTGTCTGTGTACATATTCTCGGGTTATATTTGCTGGAGTTTGCAACTTCTATATTCGAACTTGCAAGGAAAATAAAAACAAGGCCAATACCCTACCAACTCTAAAGCACATCAGTACGTATACTTCGTTTTACAGAGAATAGCTGAGAATAAAGAAGTTTATATATTTTTTCTATTTTTCTCTCTTTACATACTCTACACGTTCTGCTCTGACTGATTTATATTTAAAGTAATTTGAGAATAATTCTTTCTTGAGCCATAATGGAAAATTAGCTTATTAAAATGCAGTCCCAACAATATCTTTTATCTTTAGAGTGCAATCCCTGCTTTTCTGCTCTAATAATCTTCTACATTCCAAAATAGCCTGTCAGCCATGCCGCATGCTAAGCCACAGAGAACAACAACGATAATTTATTTTAGTTTTTTAGCTCTTGACACCTCGAGCATGTGAGACGGTCTTCGCATAAACACTTCAAACGATGTTTTTTCAATCACCATGCACAGAGCAAAGTCTGCAGCCATAAGGCCCAGCAGGAGCATTTTCATTTCTAGTGGAATGGAAACAAGCTCCATCTGCGCGTTGATATCTGGCATCATCTCCAAAGTGCATGCTACAACCATTATAACAGAAAGAACAAGAGAGTTAAGAAGCTTCTTGTTTTCTGTCAGACTCTCTCTAAATGGCCTTCCCACGTAGTTCACAACAAGGGTTGTCACCTGCAGTGCCGATCCCAGCAAAAACATCGACGTATTTGCCAAAGATGGTGAAAACTTTTCCTGCATTACAATGGGCCCGTACTTGATCACGCCCTGGTACGTAAAATAAAATGCAGCAATGTGCACAGCTGTCTGCAGGATAACAGAAACCACAATGTATCTGCTGAATATCCTGGCCACAGGCTTCTCTTTGCTGATCTGTGGTAGAGGCCGCGATTTTCCAAAGAAAGTGAAAGACACAGCCGAAAGAACTCCTGCAGCTGTCATTTGGAAGTCTCCGTACTTTATCCCCATTGTATCAAACACACTGAGGGTGTATGCAGATAAAAGACAGTTCAGAGCAAGAACCTTGTACATCTGCACAGTGCTCACTAGAGCTGATCTTCCCCGGGAGATAACATCAATCACCGACTGCAATGATCCTGTGCGAGATGTAAATGGAGCTGCAATGCTTGCATCACCTAATTTCACTTTTATCTCTTCATCGAGAATGAACATAGACTGGCCTATGTTCCCCGGGAGAGTGATGGCTCTTCCTTTGGTTTTTGTTCCTTCTAGGAGAGCTATGCCTGCGTGGGCTGTCTTCAGTGCTCCCACGTCATTAGTTCCATCACCGCACATGAGAGTGTATTCACCCAGAGAGTTGAGAAGAGATATCGTTTTTTCTTTAGAGTCTGGATCAGCCCTAGCAAAGACAGATGGCCACACGACTGCGCTCTTCTCTTCTGCGCTCATTTTCATCACGCTCTGCAGGAAGCTGTCAATTTCCTCTGAGCCACTGAGCGATTTTCCGTTGTAGAGGCCTACCTGCTTAGCAACGCTTATAGCTGTTTTTTCGTTGTCTCCTGTGATCATGATTACCTTGTGGTTGCTTCTCATCAGATGGTCTATAGTCTGCTGCGCATTCTTTTTGAGCTTTGAGTTGTAGAATGCAAACCCTGCAAAGGCCATGCCTTCCTCTAGGCTCTTTCTATCTGCTAGATCGATCTTTGAGGTTTGGTTGAGCGTCTTCATGGCAAGAGCGATCACTCTGTATCCCTGTTCAGCGTACTTTTCGAATCTATCGTAGTCTGCAGGAAGATCCTTGAGAAACTCTCGGATGGTTTCAGGAGCGCCCTTCATGCTTACGAACTTATCGTCGTCCATTTGAAGGACAGATGTCGATCTTTTAAGGGCGCTGTCGAATGAGTATTTTTTGAGAACTGAGTATGTTTTGTCTTCTATGCTTATTAGGTTGTCTTTTACAAGAGTGCCCTTCACATACTCAAATCCGCACATGTCCAGCGGGTCTCCCTCAGCTTTTCCATCGAGAATCACCAGAGAGTGGCATGTGCCAATGACTTTTCGGGCTGTGTCCATGTTCTCTGCCTCTATCTTCTCCAGCTGCAGATTGAGCTCTGTCAGAGTCCCTGTCTTATCGAAACAGCAGACTGTTATTTTTCCTGCAAAGGGAATCCTAAAGGGCTCCAGGCAGTAGACACCAAGGCCCACAAGCTCCTGCAGCGAGGAGTTGACTGCAATAGTAAGCTCCATAGGCAGCTCGGGCGGCACTACGTTAGTGAGGATCATAATGCACTCTAGGACTATTTTGTATAGAGTTTTGCCCATTGCCACGCTTTCTCTCACTACGTACACGCACGATATAATGGCAAATACCAGCATAGCAAGAATGAACAAATATGCTTCGTAATTATTCTCGCTCACTGTGTCTTCGGAGGCAATCATTGACTTAATCAGCTCTCCCTGCTCTGTCATGAACCCTGTGCGAAGAACAATGCACTCTATGCCTTTTTCTCCCAATTTAAGGATCTTTGTGCCTCCGTACAGGATGCTTTTTTTGTGGTGGGTGAGGGAAAGCTCTGAAGGATCGCTTGTGATGGCTTCTTTTTGCACTGGAGTTGTCTCACCGGAGAGCATGGACTCATTGATCACTGCAGTTCCTTTTATTAGGAGGAGATCTGCGGGCATTTGTATCTGCCCTTCAATGAATATCCTGTCCCCTGGGACGAGGCTGCTGCTTACCACTTCCTCTTTTTTTCCATTTGTGTATTTCATGATCTTTTGCGGCTTTAGGTTGAGGCTTCTCAGCTGTTTGATGTTCGTGTGTCTCTGGAAGACCATTCCTCCCTCAAATGCGATGATTGTGAAAAAAGTGAAGAGCGAATACTTCCAGTACTCGTCAAGCATCCACAGGAGAGCACAAAAGATTTGGAAAACAAAGAACGGAGAGACTGCGTGCTCTGCAAACATTCTGATGAAGGTTGGGGGCTCTATCTTAAACTCGTTTTTTGGGAAAATGACTCTTTCTATGTCAGAGAGCATGTTTGCGGTTCCGATTTCTTTGCTTGTGTACTTATCGAGGGGGAAATCGGTCTTTATCTCCATCTTTTTAATGGCGGATCCGTTGAAGTAGAAGAGATCGTTGTCAAACTCAAACCATTTGATCCTTTCTTTTCTATCTTTTATCACTGCAATCTTTGAATTTACGAACGCAAACCCCACTTTTGACTCTCTGTTCATCAGCTGTTTTTTTGATATTTTTATGAGCTCGGCTTCTTCAATGTTTGCCACTTTCTGGAGCTTTGAGAACTCGTACACTTTGCTTCCCCAGAACGAAGATAGGAAGAGAAATCCTTGGATCAGCGCCAAAAAGAAGATGCTTATTGCCACGCCGTTTGAATCTGCCTCTCCAAACCTAAACCTTGTGCCCAGCCAGTACGAAACTGGATAGAAATAGGCAGGAATGATGTAGCTGTGTGTCCACAATGGCCTTGTTTTGTATAATGCAAATTCCATAATAAAAAATTTTCAAATTCTGAAATATGCACATTCTCGTTCAATCTTCTTCTGGGGAGATATTTGAAGAGTGCCTCCTTGTGCCCGTTCCTGGAACAGAAGACAATCCTGTACAAAACCTGTATAAAGATAAAAATATAGCAGAAAAAAATGAAGAGATGTGTGTGGAAGAGACAGAAGACAGCCCTTGTGAAAATAAACATAATGCAAACACAGGAGACTGTGTGGAGAAAAGACCGTCTATCCTCGAAATTAGAAAAAATGAGTATGCAGATATACGGTGCACTTTCATCGACGCAGGGAGCATTGAAATACTTGGTCTGCGGCACTCTGGCAAGTCTCTGTTTATGGCAGAGCTTCTTGCAATAAACTCTCATCTGTCGCCCACCCTCATAATTACAAAGGGGCCTGTTCCCTCTATAAACCACACGAGGATATACACAGCAACAAGCATAGATAAAATGAATGCGAGACTCGAGTCTATCATCACAGATAGCAGCGGTGTAAGAGGCAGAGTTCTTGGAATAGACGCGCTAAACACAATACTCTTTTCAAACGACAAGCCAGAAAAGGAAAAACAGCTGTTTTTTTTGCTAAAAATACTGAACTGTCTGGGCACGCGCGTGCTTGTAGTTAACAGCCTGCTGGAGATAGTTAAGAAGACATCCAACTTCTACAGCAGAAGCATACTCTTCAAGCCATTACCCCACTAAGATAGTATAAATACATCTGTAGCGAAGGAGAAGATAAGAGATAAATGATAACTGGTGATATCTGCTATTCATGTAAGTTGACTCTGAATTAACACATTCACCAATCAAACATTAGAAAATAAATTGTGATTTTTGTACTGAGTATGTTCTTGTGCAATAAAAAGAGTATGAATCATTCTCGAGGTATTCTCTGAATTATCTCACTCTCTGTGCATATACTGCACCAGAGTATAATTAAACTGTGTGCTAGCGTATGTGCAACTGCAGATCGATTAAGATGATTATTCTTGAGTTAATTAAACAAAATGAATGTACTACAAATAAACAAAATAAAATATAGACATACTTTTAGAATACTGCAGACCATACACTTTTTTATTTTTGAGCAAGGAAAGAACAATGCACTCTGTAAAAACTAAAATAAATTGTGGAAGTTGGTCAAAGAGTCATTATAACGCTAGAAGATAAGAAAAACTAGTGTAGATTAAGATAAGGTGATTCTAAGATGTGATCTGTAAATGGTGAATAAAAATAAACTAACTTAACACTTTTTACTAAATATACTTGTTGGCTGCGCTGGGCTGGATAGATGGCGCGCGCTCTAGTAGCATGCAGAGATGTTTCCTCTAAGCATGTCTTTGCATATGGCCCACAGCACAAACAGAGCAAACACTCCTGTGCATCTATACAGCAGCTTGTGCCATCTTTTCTCTGCTTTTACTTTAATGTGGATATTCTCCAGCTCGTTTATCATCCGGTCGCACTCTTTGACACAGTTACTGCCTGTCTGGGCCTGCAGCTTTTCTATCTCCAGGAGAATGATGCGAATGGTGGTTTTTATCTCTTCGATGCCGTTTGTTTTTTCGTGGTCCTCCAGGCTCTTTGTTTGGCTTTTTTTGACAAATTCCTCAATTTTGCCCAGGAGCTGCTCGCGTCTCTTTTCGATTCTTTCCAGAATTTCGTCGGGAAAGATTCCCTCATCTAGACACGCTGCGCTGATCTTCCCTGGGCTCATCACCCCAAACAAACTGTTTTTGTTTACTTCTTCTGAAGTAATTTTTCTCTTCATTGCAGGAACTATCTTCTCCATGTAATTAATTTTTTCATCTACCAAAAGAGCCTTTTTCTGGACCTCGTCTCTGAAATGTACTCTTCAGAAATGCTGCCGTGCGGGGTCTGAGGAATGGTGATGTTTTTGTTGGGGGAGATATAGACTATCTTGCGCTTTGGGGTGTGCACAACTCTGTCGGGAGTTCTTACTCTAACAGTCTCTGCCTCTTTTTTGAACACGGGAACTGTTTCTATGGAGGAGGCTCTAGAGGGAAGAGTTTTTGATCTGTTTGATTTTGCCCTTTTAAGCGTAACCTCTGTAGAGTTTATTCTTTTAAGATATTTTGTTGTCCAGTGTGCTCTTTTTCTTTTTTCCATAAAAATACAATTAGTGCAGGCCAAAAAATTATTTATTGTTACTTTGTACTCTTCCGGTAAATTTCTTTTATCGAAATTTTATTCTGACGTCTCCTCTAGTGCACTGATCAGCGCAGATATTTCGATTATTCCGTTCTTTGCGGGAATGAGAGATAGCACCTGGTTTGCTTCGAAGAGTGTTAGCCTATTCCCGACTGTTGTGAGGATTTTGACCAGCTCGCTGTGTGCTATGCTTTCAGTTCTCTCAATTGCCAAGTCCAGCAGACCCTGCTTGAGCTCTTCAAGGGACATACTCTGCGGCGCAGGGGAGTCTGGCTTTTGTGTGCTTATGTATGTCATATATTTTTAAATAAAAGTTTTATTCTAAATTCACTGCACAGTCTATCACAATAGATCCAGGGCCTCAATGAAACTGTTTATCCGTCTTGTACCACTGCATTAGATGCAACTGTTTGATCTGCACCTCGCAAACCTAAAGAGACATTGAAAGAGCCGCACAGCATCTTTTTTATTGGTGGAAATAGGACATATAGAACATTCGTATAGCTGTTCTTTTTTAAAATGAATTAATAGTGTAGACAGGATATGAAAGAGCTCAATTCTCAGAGTATATTCAGCAGAGTTGAAAAGATCTAGCGATTTTAAGAGTCTTTACAGGCTTTTACAAAGAAGAATTGGCAAGAAAAAGTACAATATGAACCAGTAGAGAGTGCTGCTACAGTTGGAGCAGTGAAAATATTCTGCATCAAAATTTATTTATTAAACGGTGGAATGTTTGTGAATAAGTGCCAGTCACTATAGACACAGAGAGCTTGGACTGTGTACTAGTGGTGAGTGTTTCACATGTGTTTTTTGTTTCGTAAGCCAATCACAGCATATTTAATATTCTTGTTTTTATTTTCTTTGTAATGGCACGCCAAGGAAACAGAGCAAGTTCAGCCTTGAGAAACGGAGTCAGCTCCCTGTCCACGGGGTTTTCCATTAAAAATGAAACTTCGAACATGAAGAGGTCTTTGTGTCTAAAGCCCACATCGCACTCCGGCAGAAGCAATGTCACATGGCTATCTAGTATGTACATATTTGCCTCTATTGTGCTGTTTAGCATTTTCGTTAACACGCTCTCACAGATTCTCTACTCTGTGGTAAAGCTTGGACTCTTTTCCATGAGCATAATGGGGCCGCCTCTTCTCTTTATTGGTGCTTCCATTCCGATTGTTCTTGGCACAGCATTTCTGTACCACAAAGTGTTCGATGTAAAGATGGTCATAACCAGCTATTTATTAATACTGTCATACACAGTGGGTCTTCCGCTGCTTCTTATGGACAGAACTTTGTTTCTGATTCTTCCCATCCGACTCATGGAGATACACAAAACAATATTCAGCTTTGCACCTATGATAGTGCTAGGACTGATTTCTCAGTACATTATCAGAATAAACCTGAAGCCAATCACAGAGCCTGCTACAAACGAAAGATCTGAGTTTATTCGGCAGTTCACGATAATACTGGGACAGACTCTTTCCAGCCTGCTGTTCTACTATATGCTGCTAGCGCCTTCATCCACTGAGAACTATCTTAAGCCAGGAACAGACAAATTTTTTTAGATACGGTTCATGCCTGCATGTTTGCACAGAGAATAAAAGCTCATTATGCCATTCTGTTTTTATTTTTGTTTATTTACCCTGCCACTCAGAATATGAGTCTGTAGATAGCGAGTGTTTTATGCTATTTAGGCAAAGTGCATAAAATATTATTCTGCTTGAGGATGGAGGAAACAGAACAGCCAACACAGCTAAAAAAAACATATTCATACATCGTAAGAGAGTCCATCTATTTCAGAAGAGCTCTCTTGCTGCAGCCTTTGACCACCCCGGGGTGCGAAAAAAGGTACACCCCCACAGGAATGGCCTTCAACATTTTTTCTCTTTTCGTATCGATGGTGGTGAGCAGCTCCTGCTACAAGACGCTTTTTTCTTTCAGCCAGCCCAAGCTCCTGCCGGTCTATAAGTTTGTGATATACATCTGCATAGGGCGCATGATTCCCTTGTTCTCTTTTGTGATGTGTCTGGGAACCATTATATACCTGTGCTTGTTTAGTTTTACTCTGCTTGAGTCTGGGTACATCATAACATACTCTCTCTCAACGACTTTTCCCATTGCCCTGATTGGAAAGTCCATGCAGCTGTATTTTACCAGCCACATCGAAATAATTGGAGCACTTATTTTTTTGATCAACGGGGTTGTTTCAACTATTTTCATACTGGCAAACAGATCAAAAAA